GTCCTGTTGTTGTTGGCTTTGTTTTCTCCACGGGGCATGACTTACTGACATTTATTCTGCTTTTTCTCTACCGCCAAATACCTACCCGAGGCAAAACAACTTGCTTCTTCAGTTCTGTCACATTTGCCATGTGGTCCCTTCTGCCGCATACACAGAATTGCACGCGGGAGGTTTGGAGCCCCGTGCTTTTTCTCCGCTTGCACCCCCTCGCCTCGCTTTACATCTTGTTTTTAACCCACAAAAACAACCATTAAGGGGCAGAGAAAGCTCTTCGAGCCGCCAGCCAGAGAGATCCCGGGAGAAGGGGCGGGGGGGAGAGGACAAGGACACTTATTATGCAAGAAATGTCACTGCGCGGCCCGCAATAATTTGGAATCCGCCCTCCGTTCTCCATTTCAGAGTAGGGTAGAAGGCGGAGATCCATTCATAAATAGGTCGGCTTTGTCACGGGCATTCTGGGGCTAATGGGGAGGGGCTGGCTGGAGGATCGCGCCTGCAGTCGATCGGGTTNGTTTAGACTGGTTTTGACATTTTAGTTCACCTATCAAGACCTTGCCAGGTGTTTTTTAAAATAATAATAAAGATATTATTGCAGGATGTAAGCTATGCTAAGTATAACTGCCTTTTGCAATTGACTGATGATTTTGTCAAGGTTGATGGTTTTCAAGTGGCGCTCAAGATGTTTTGGAATTGCCTTGAAGGCACCTATTACTGTCAACATTATCTTTGCTTTATTTTTATTTATTTTAATATTATTATTTATTATTACTCACACTAGAAAGGAGCAAGGAACAAGGGTTTAAAAGGGTTTTTGTCCCTTAAACTCTAAAAATTACAGAAGAAAAGATCAAAATAGGTGAATTAAAACCCATTTAAAACCCATTCATGTGAAACAGAGTGAAAAAAGGAAAAGATGTAAAAATTGTTTGGAAATGTGAATTTTTCTTTGTTCTTCCTTGGGCCAATTTGCACATTTTTATTGATAGAGCTAGAAACACAGTGAGAACTCTGCACTTACTACCATGGTCTGTTATTTCATCGATATATACAGTACAAAATGAAATTGTTTCGGGATTGGTTTTTTATTTTCCCAGGAACTGAATGAAGAAAAATATAGTAAAACATATACGTATATGTTTGCATTCTCTTAAACATGTTACTGATGCTTCATCCTGCTTCAGATAAAATTAGATATGACTGAATCAGCAAGGAACTACAGAAATTGTTTGAAACCGCATACTGCATTTTCAGTCGGATATGCATCTAAAATTTATGCTGGAATTGGCCATGGGGGTCCTTGCCACATTCCAATTATGACAAATCTACTTTGTCACCACCACATCATTCCTGGATTCATACATCATACTAAATCATAAGGACTGGTTCGTAAACCACAGTGGCTGGGTCCATACTGGTAATCCTCAAGTTACAACTGCAATTAGACTGAAATTTCCATTGCTAAGCAGTGCAGCCACTGCTTGGTGTTAAGTGACTACATGGCAATAGTTAAACGGGGATGATGGTCTTTAAACAAGCACCTCTTTGTAGCTTCCTGCCAGCTTTTATCAACCAAAGTCAATGGGAAAGCTGGCAGGAAGTTGCAAGTCCCAGAAGGTTCACAAGCAGGCTAGTAGGCAGGTAAGTGGCTGCTTCCAGATGGAGAGGGAGAAAGGAATGTGGGTGGCCAAGGAGGCACTACACAAGCACTACTTGAGTTGGCTGCTGCTGGATGAAGGAGGGTATGCGTGGCTGGAGAGGCACTGTATGAGCACACCAGGCCTGGGAAAAGGTGGGTGGGCAGGTGAGGGAGACTTACTGTACTAGAGCAACTTGCAACCTTCCCTGCTGGCTTCTTTCTTGTGGGAAGTCAGCACAGAAGGTTCCAAATGGTGACCACAGGATAATGCTGCAACCATCTTTAAGTGCAAGCCAGTTGCCAAGCATCCAGACTGTGATCACGTGAGACAGGAGTACAGAGACAGCCAGAACTTCAAGGACCACTTGTAACCATAAATAGTTCAGCACCGTTCAGACTGTTGTTGAATGAGTGGTCAAAGACTACCTGTATATTACAGTTTTAAAAAACCCTAAAGGATCTTAATGACTTAGCAAAGTATGTGAATTCAAGTGAAGCGTGAAAGAATTCTTAGAAAATGACAAAGGCAAACTTTCTTGCTACATTAGATAAAATCCAAAATAAAACAGCTGTTACAGTTTCTTTTGTTTCCTGTTAGGTGGCACCCTCTAATGGCTACATTGCCCTACTATAGACTTCAAAGAATAGGAAATGCTTACGTTTTATAGAAATGGAATAAGATTTCCATTTCCCATTTTTCTGTGACCTCTGTGAAAATATAAGGGAAAGGACATTTTTTAAATCAATCATAATAGCCTTAACTTTTGCAATTTCAATTTGTTACTTTGCTTTCTCTTTAGTAAAAACCTGCATTTACTATTATAATTAAATCAGAAAGCAAGTGCTAGGTCCTGTAATTTGAAGCTGCAATTCTACTTGAAGGATTACATAGTTCAAAACATACACGGTAAGATAATTCCAACCATAGCCTATTATTTGCATTAAAAATAAAATCAATTAATAAAAGCAGTGTGAGTAGGAGAGGATCAGAGAAAGAATTGTGTCCAAAAACATGGTAATGTAAATCAGAATAAAAATAAAAGTCATTCATTAGAATTCCAAAACAGCTTACAGACGAGATAGGACACATTTAATCTCATTTTACTAATAAGAAATCAATTTTAACAGTGACCTAGAATTTTGGTAAATAAAGAATTGGAAGAAATATAAATTCCAACTGTGTATATTGCTAATCCTATACACAGTGACATTCAGAAACTATTGACTCAATGTCAAAAATAGCACTATAGATCCAGATTCAAATTAGTATTGCTTATAGAGGTAGTCCTTGACTTACAACCATTAGTTTAATGACTGTTCGAAGTTACAACAGCACTGAAAAAAATGACTTGTGACTATTTTTCACATTTTCGACTGTTGCAGCATCTCTATAGTCGTGTGATCAAAATTCAGATGCTTGGCAACTGACTCATAGTTATGATGGTTGCATTATCCTGGGATCATGTGATCACCTTTTGCAACGGGAAAAAGGTCAACGGGAAAGCCAGATTCACTTAACAACTGTGTTACTAATGTAACTACAGTGAAGTCTTTAAGAAGATGTTGGATAGCCATTTGTCTGAAACGGTATAGGGTCTCCTGCCTAGGCAGGGGGTTGGACTAGAAGACCTCCAAGGTCCCTTCCAACTCTGCTATTGTATTGTATTGTATTGACTTAACATTATGGCAAGAAAGGTTGTGAAATGGGGCAAATGTCATGTAAGAACTATCTCACTTAGCAACAAACATTGGGGACTCAATTGTGGTCCTAAGTCAAGAACTACCTGTACAAGAAATTTAGAATTATCTAATTAGGTCACTTTTGATGTTCAATTTTGATGGGCCACTACAAAACATACATCTTTAAATTAACTAGTAAATATAAATGTGTCTGCTTTCTGTACTATATGGGCTTACATGACATTTG